AGCGCAGATAGCCCTCGTGTAGCTTTGCGCGAAATTAAAAAAAAAACAAACAAACAATGTGTTTTCTCTCTCTTTGAAATTTAGCTCTAACAATATTTATATAAACTATTTGAAAAAACAGGAGTTGTAATAATTTTTGTAGAAGTATTAGAAAGCCGATAAGAGACGTGATAATTATTCATGCCCAAAGAGATTCAAAATTAGCTTTATTAAACTTCTAAACACTATATTCCATTCTGTAGTGTCTTGGAAATCTTTAGATATTCAAGAAGAAGAATACTTCTCTAGAGAAACACCTGTGTGTTCTTCAGGTTTATCATAATTAACAACAGTTCTGCGTGTTTTGCATAACTTTTGACGTACTCAATAGGCAGAAAATATTAAACCATGGAGAATTCATACTTATATAAAGAAAGGCGAAAAACACAATAGAAGAAATCTAGAAATCACTCTACATAGTCAGAAAATATTAAACCATGGAGAAAAAACAATTATCCTGAGAAAACACGTAAATCGATAGAAAGCTAGATAAAACACAACAAAAGATAAGTGTAGAAAGGAGACGTGATAATTACACATGCACAAGAGATTTAAAATTAGCTTTATTAAATTTCTAAACACTGTTTCGAATTCGATGACGAGGAACCCACTTTGAGACTAATAATGGTTGGAGACAGCTTGAATGGGTAATGAAGAGAAACTTTAATATAAGATAGCCCTCGTGTAGTTCTGCGCGATATTCATAAGAACCATTTCCTGACCATTTAATCGCCCCCACGAGTCTACCGAATGGCCAACTTGTGTCAAAAAATGTATGTTGTGAACTTATGAAAGGACGAAACTTATGGCTTCCAACTATGACAGACATGCCATTTCGTTGTGTTTGAAAAATATATATATTATATTATATTATAATAACAGTGAAATAAGCCATGTACAGTGTACTGAGATGGTAATATTGTTATCATTTTATTTTATATCATATTATGAGATTAAAAAAATTATATGAGAATTGCAAATTTTATAGAAATAGCAGGTGATAAATTTTTCTATGAATAAAAAATATTCTGTATGTCATAACTTTAGTACATATTACATGGCATTTCAGATGTCGCTATTCTTCGAGCATTTCGAAACACTTGTGACCCAGAAATGCGCAAGAACAAGTAGCGCGTCTTCATAGCGTACTTTTAGAAACTAAAAAGACTGAATGTTGTTTTTGTATGATTTGATGGTAATTAGTTTTTCTAATTTTGTACAATCCATTGACTTCAAAAGATAAACTAGCGGTATTTCAGCAAACTGTATTAATCCGCTAATGTTGTTTCGTGATGGGGCACAGTTAGAGACGGCTAAGTTATTCGAAGTCAATATTGATTCGTATGGCGGTGCAGAGCACAGTCAACCAGCCCCAGGGTTCAGAGTGAAGCGCGGTAACAATGGCTCACTGCTTGTCACTAGGTGGGTTAATTGGAAATTTCTTAACAATAATCCTTCTAGTAAGGTTGTCAGTAGTAGAATATACATTTAAACGAGGAAAATGTTATATTAATTTTATTTAAATTCTGAAATTTTGTTTGGTGACATGATTATGCCGGAAGAGATTAGTGTTTGTTTATATCGTAATATCTACTTTTACACTGACATATTAATATAGAGTATAACCAGAACGAATAAATAAATAGTAAATAGAACTAAGCTCACGTTGGTTATAGCTGTTACGTTACGGTAAGCATTTATTAATTATTGTGTATAAATGACTCGGATATTACCATAATGGCTGAAATGAATTGTTTGTGTACGCTTGTGCTAGAAGCGCAAATACAAACTATGATTACAGTTTAAGTTGAGGATGAAGCAACCATGTTGTGCCCAGTGTTTTAATTTATGTTCTGTTTGAAACCGGAAGCAGCTGAAAATGTTTCGTTCCCACCTAAAATACAACATTTTCATTTGATAAAATAAACTAGTTAGTTATTTTTAGTTTGCAGAAAACTTGACAGTCCAGTATTATCATTGTTTGAACGGTTTCGGGCGCAAGCTTTTAGTCGTCGTAAAGTTTTTTAGTCTGTACTTGAAACTATCAATCAAAATACTCCGCCACTGATTTTAAAGACCGTATTGGATAGTAACCGGCTTCGAATCCACAACCTACACAGTGTCTTCATACGCAAAGTGAGGGCTAGTGATGTAGTGGCAAATTTAGAAATGAGGGATCGCCACGTTCTCCCTTAGCTAATTATCAAACTGATTATCAAATATGGCTACCATGTTTACTAATACATTAGAAATTTTTAAAAATCATTGTTCTAGGTATGTTTAATGTAAAACAGCAGTATATTCAAGGTCACAGTGCTTTCAACTAATGATAAAAGATTTTTTTTTATGTAAAGCGTTCCATATTACACATGATTACAATCCCATAGGTCCGCATTGTAATTTATAAGAAAGCGATACGGGAAATTGCATTTGAAATATGGAACATGAAGTCAGGGGTCGATGTTACCCCGCAAGATTGCACCACTGGTCAGGGCTTGATTATGTAAGAGAAACCCCGAACCCTAAAGCCATTACGACAAAGCTGAGTACACTTCTGGTATCGTAAATCAGATAATAAGCAAACATTTTACATTGACGAAGACTCGTAAGCCGAAAGTTCACTGAAAAATGGCCAAAGAAAATTGATTAATAGAAATCACATTCGACATTCACATTCATGTCCTTCGTGAATGGTTTTGTCTACAAAACCAACGTCTACGTGCTCTAGAAGGTATTTGTGGAAAATTTGTCAAAACGTATGGCTGTTTCTTGAATAATTTAATACAGTGAAACTGTCGTTTACTAGTTCATGAAAATGGCGACAAGATTAAGTATATTCGAGTAAGGAGGAAATATTTCCTATGGCAGTATGGAATATGGAACTTAATTTTTATAAAGTGAAATTAATTCTCAGTATTATAGTATATTCGTACCAGTTAAAAGCAGAAGGTGAGTTTGGATAACCAGTGCAGTGAATATTAATTATGCAATACTTTTTCAGTCTAAGAATTCAACAAAATTACGATTTCGTTCTATCATTTTAAGATAGTCGTAAGTACAAGGACGTGAAAGAGTTTTCTGAATGAGTATTGTTTGTTTGTTTGTTTTGGAATTTCGCGCAAAGCTACACGAGGGCTATCTGCGCTAGCCGTCCCTAATTTAGCAGTGTAAGACTAGAGGGAAGGCAGCTAGTCATCACCACCCACCGCCAACTCTT